ATTAACCTATAGTAAAATGCTACCCACAGTTCGTCTTCATGTGTTTAATGCAAGTTGTGCACGGCTTTTCTGCTCTCAAAAACCATAATACCTTTGCTTTCAACAGCCTCCAAAGAATGGTTAGAGTTTTTCTATTTTAAGGAATCGAATTGTTTGCGCAGCCTCGCAGCTTTACATTACAACCTATGCAATGCCAAGAAATGAAAGCGCCGCACTGCATTCAAAAAGAGCAAAGTTATGGGAGAAGCTGCAAAACTCATGCGCCAACCTAACCCAGCTAGATAAGTAACATTTCAAACAAAAAAAAAACAAATTTGGCTTCCTGTCACACCCTGATTAAAGTAACTGCCACTCCGAAATTTTTCTCACAAAATCAAGAAAGATTTGCGTTAGGGTCATAGACGAAGCGATAGGGCTTTAGTCAATGCATTGTATCAAAATCAGAAGTTCGATAACGTAGTGAGAGTGATGAATCTCAATTTTTTGCAAGAAGCTTATGATCAAAAAAAGGCAATTAGCAATATCAACGGCTTTATCATCGGCCAACATTCATCATACCGATTTCCATTTCAAACAGAAAGATATGAGAAACTTTTTTCGGTGAGAAAGCTAGCAGATTGCTAACGATCAAGCACTGGCAAAAAACTAGAGATACGGGCATATATTAGGTCGTTTTATAAGTTTTGCTAAGTTATTTTACTGCTTATAGCCATAGGTTTTGAAATTTTGATTTACACAAGTGAAACGGTGTTTTCATTTTCGTTCTCATTTCTTTGAGAAGCGGTTGATTTGCGGCAAGGTACGTACATCATCGAAAAGATCTGATCATGTTTTTCAAAATAAACTAATTATTACCAATTAAAAGCCGATCTGCGTTGATGACTCAGCTTCCAAAGAAGGGTCTCTCAAAGGCAAAAAAGAAGCATTTTTGGCACTTGCTCTTCTTCCTTATGATAAAAAACGCATTTTGCTCAGATTTTTTTGCCGAATATAGAAAATGGCGTTTTTTCGTCAATATGGGACAAAAAATGGATTGGACTGTTTCAAGAACGAAGAGTTTGCAAGGCTACACCTGAACAAGACTTGCAGGATTTATAGGAGGTTCTGCAAAGAATTTCGCTAGGCAAGAACAAGAGTCGCCTATACAGTTTGCAATTCGATTGCACGTCTAAACGAACCCCTCTCTGCACAAAAGGTTTAGCAAACAGATCCAGTGAACTTTTCTGCTTAACAAAGCGCGTCGCATCTCGCTCTAGCATACTGCCATCTGTTTCAGTTTATCACAAATCATATAAACACCGTCTGGTTCACTGGTCAGACGACTTTTTTAGATCAGACCCGCTGAATTTTGGAAAACGGGACTGAAAATCGACTGCGATGGTAGAAGCTTGTGTGCAGTAACGGAACACATTGTTGACTGAATTTTGCTAAAACTTTGTCTTTTGTTGATTCATCCTAATAGTTAAGTAGATTTGTATTCGTATTAGGTTGTCCCATGAGTTTTTTTATTTTTGAGTTTTCGTTGCGATAAGTAGGACTCTTCTCATTCTGAAACAAAGTTCAAAATACCATTCGATAGAGCAAAGCAAGATTTATAAGATGATTCATACTTTTGCAGCAGCTTCGATCCACCTCAAGTTTGAAACCAAAATCTAGGAAGTTTCGGATGCTCAGAACATTGAAATTTTTTAAATATTTTCATGGATAAAAGTCCCACAGATCTCTTATTCGCTCACGCATATACATTCCACATCAGACACGCTGTGCTCTTCTTATACTAACAGTTGATTTTCAGCTATAAGTTCTGGTTCCCGAGAAATGTTGAGTTAAGCGTGAAAAACCTGAGTAACGAAAGCTAAATTCGATATTTCTTAGAAACTAGAGCTTTTAGAGAGCTGAAAATTTGCAATTGTACTTTTAAGGGCTCGAAGTATACAGAACATGAACATGTTAGTAGAAGAACACTTTTCGGTAAGATTGCTGAGCTTGACCAAGATTGGTATGCTAACTTTATTGGCTGACTTTCGGCTATCTACGCCTTCTTCGGAGCCTGGAAAGACCGAAAAGTGCATACAACACAACAATGCCTAGATTCAAGGAAAACCGAATCTTCACCATACCAAGCATAAGAACAGCACAAAACTACTTTGGTAAAAACATGGAAATTTTGATTTTTCGATTTCTAGCTAATAAAAAAAAGACATCAACAGCACATACTAGTGTCTGACGTGGAATGTATATGCGTGAGCGGTGAGAGGTCCGTAGGACTTTTTCAAATGAAGATATCAGAATTTAATTTTCTGGGCATCCGAAACTTTTAAATTTTGGTTTCAAACTCTAGAGCTGGATCGATGCTGATGCAAGAGCATAAACGCCATCTTATAGAGCTTGTTTTGCTCTATCGAATGATATCCTGATGTCTAATTAGAATTAGAAGTATATGACTTATCGAAAACTTAAAAATGAAAGACCTATGGGACAGCCTAATACTGTCGCATGCTTCAGTACTCATTCATATTCTATCACAGGACATTTTCTGAAGGACGATTTGCGCAAGTGATCTATGTAAACTCCTATCTTATAATTTGGCTGAAGGGCCTGCAAAGCGCGGATTTAAAACTTGAAACAATACTGCCTGAATTTGCGATCGAGTATTTTGCGTATGCAGCTTCCAAACCATAACATGAACTGGATGGATAAGCGGCTGCTTTGAGTCTTTTCATTATAGATAATAGATAAATAGTGGCATTAGCGAAAAAGGAGGTTTTTCGGCTTTGTTAGACGTGGAGATAATATCGAGTTGCTATTCATGCATCACCTTTCAATTTAACATCAGCCATTTAGAATTGTTTGCAATAATGAATTTGAGGAAAGCCGTTCTTTGGCACATTTGGTAGAATTCAGACATTTTGAAACCATACCTTCGATAGTCTAGAGACAGGGCGTCAAAAGTGAAGGTTGTTTGAACATCTGACGTCATAAATAGTGAAGGTTGTTTAGAGATGATCAGAGAAGAGAAAATGACTTAAAACAGGTATGAAAAGCAAAAGAAACTGCTGAAAACAGGATAAAAACGCTGCAGTGAGGCTTGAAATCTTTCATTTGGCGGCTTTTGAAAGTGCAAGTTTTCGCTTTAGGACCAGCGATTCGCAACACGGGGTTTTCATTTTCGATGCGTCCTTTGAATTTTTACCCCCGCATTGACGTTCCTGTTTCCTGGGACGTTGTCTGGATTGTTGCGCTTATTGTTCTGAGCAACAATCGCCCAAGCTGGAAAAAAATCGATGCGAAAACACAGAAACTGAACAAGGTAAAGAAAAACGCACTTTTTACGATTTTTCGCAAAAAATTCCACCATAATCCAAGAGATAAGGGCTGGGTGGTTGTCTGCATTATGAACAGAAGCAAGATCTATAGATTGCATGAAAAAACCGCATGAAAAGAGTTAAACTAGAAGAAAAACAAGCGATTATCGAAAACAAGGTTTTTGCCGAATTTCTCGACCAAATCAAAAAATGTGGTTCTGGGACGTTGTCAGCGTGAAAATAGAGATTAAGAGCTTTAAAATGATATATAGCTTGCTAAAATTGGATTCGAAACAGCGAAGAAAAGGGTGCCAGAGCCAAATGCCCCGCGCCCCGCGTTTGGGGTAGCGAGGTAGCGCGCAGCGCGCGGAGACGCAGACGAGCAGCGGAGACAGACCAGAGCCGACGGGGCATTTGGCTCTGGTCGTAGATCTCCGCGGGGTCTCAACGAAACCCCGCAACATTATATATGATTCTGATCGCCATGATACGACAAGGAGAACTGACAACGTCCCATGCTTCAAAAATCACTCATTAATGAGATAGACCAGCGTTTTCTTGCGCGACTCTCTGCGCAAGATTTAAGCGCAGTTTCTCGCCCTTATTTAACTCAAATACCTTTCCTAAACTTGTCAAACTTGATTTTGTTTAAATGAGAGGTTAACTAAGAAATTCTATTCTAAATTCTGGCGAAAATCCTACAGAAACCTTTTTTTAGGTGAAAAAGGCTATGAAAACGCAAATTCTCGGTTTCGCTGAGATAAGCTAAAGATTTTATTCCCCATTAACATTCGTTCCGATATAATCAGGATAATAACATCCGTGGAGAAGCCCCGGATGAATTCTGTTTTTTTTCCAGGTGAAGGTTGTGTCCCCTCATAGCCCTCAAAGTGAAGGTTACCAGAGTACGTGGCTCTATGTATCGAGGGTATGTTTGAAACCGTCTTGGATACAAAGCATTGTATTGTGTTACTGTCGAAAAAAATGTTATGCCAGAAAATGTAAAAAAAGAAGTGAGCAAGACGGACGTCATAGCGCAAACAGCTGCAATTTTTCAAAACGTTTAGAAATTGTGTTGAAAACGTGCATTAACAAAATTCACAGGAAGCAAGACTCCTCTGAAGCTGTGTCATCCTCTAGCCCTCTATGGCCCCTATGTTTATGAATCTCAAGTTTGAAGCAAATAATTGGAGAGTAGACCCACCTTCATCAATCTAGCTGTCAAGCTTGAAATCCTGCTCACATTTTGAGGATGACGCTGATTCAGACAACCATGTGCATTTTGGCCGCTGGCCAAGGATGCGTTGTTAAACCCAAAATTCAAGAAATTTACTCAGAAGATTCGGACAATTCACACAAGCGCGTGAGAAAAAAAATTGATGGTATCCGTCATTTATCTGATAATCGCTTATTTCCCAAACAAAGGTGATACATTTGACAAAGATAGGCGTAGGATTTATAGTGCAATAAGTCATTCATTTACCACTTTCATTTGCAAACTGCGAATTTTCTGTGGGAGCCGCACCTAAAATAATGTGAGAGAGTGTGAAAGAGGACAAAGATCGTCATATAAAGTGCAACCCACGCTTGTGTGCAACGATGTTTACCGCACTTTAATTTTTCAATAATGTAAGATATGTTTACAGTAACGGCATAGACCCTATAAAAGTTCAGAGACGAACCACGTTGTCAGCCATGTTCGCTTACGTGCTGTTCCTTCTTGCGGTCCAAGTAAGTGCAAATATAGCAAAGAGCCTTCCACAAACTTATCTGGATCAAACTACAACACTTTGTCTTAGACGGGCCCAATCAGTTTGAAGCTCAAAAAATTTGATTAGCTAATGCCAAGCTAGAATTGTCCTTGGCTTTTTTGCAACAATCGTAAAACTGGGAGCTATTATAAAAGAGTGTTATTGATTCAGAGCGAAGACTTGAAAATACCGTTGCATGACCTCATTAAAGTACTAGTTTTTCATAGACGAAAGTATAGAAGAAAAATTGCTGTTTTCATACAAAAAAGTTGTAAAACCAAACTTCTGCTGATCATATGTGCGGCGTTACGCCATTATCACAAGGTACAGAAACCTTCAAAAGTTGGCAAAACAAATCTTTACAACCAGTCTGATTTAATAAGATGGTCTTGCGGAAGTGTTGTAGATAGAAGATTGTTTCAATGTTTCTGAACCATAAATACATTTTTCAAGTGATTCAAATGTATATAGCTGCATCAAGGCAAAAACCGCTGGAGAAAATAACGTTGGAGATTTCTGCATCAATTGTGGGATATTGAATCAAGTTGAAACCAGCACTCGATTCTTCAAGCGGTGCGAGTAACTCGGACAATCGCAAAATACTTCCGGGAAAAACTAAAGTTCTAAAACTTCCGGGGGACACTCCTGTTGGAGCTGCAGGTAGGATGCGGTTGGGCAGGGCAGGGCTCATCCACACGGTCCAATAAGAGTCTCCGCCCCGGAAGTTTTAGAAGTTCAGCTATCTTCGGAAGTATTTTGCAATTGTCTGAGAATTAGTAGTCTGCAAAAAACATTTGTTAAATGGTAAAAAGGTAATTCAAAAAGCATTTGAATTGATCATCAGCTATTCACTTCTATGTCACTTCTTAAGTAATTTTTGTAGTATAGCAATAGCTAGTGCACAAAAATTCATGACCGCTAACATTGCTTTAGACCTCGTATTAGAACAGTAGAATCTTCAACCACTTTAGCGAATTGCTAGAAAGCTGAAACTACAAAACCATTAGCTCCTGGGCTATTAAAGCCACGCTGTGTATATTTGAATACTGAGGGTTTCGCTCAGAATAGGTGCTTCCTTTAGCATTCACTAGCATTCAAGCACGCTAAGAAGTCGTCAGATATACGGTGCAAATAATGCTGTAGGGCTAAATGCTTGAATAAAAATGTGAACATATAAAACCAAATTGTGATGAATTCCAGATGTTGCTTATAACAAACAAGGCGGATGTGATTCCTGAAATTGATAGCATTCATCCTGAGGATAATGGCACATGGCACTATCCAGACTACATCTCGGGAAATGAAATCTGGGACCCTAATGATTATCTTGAAAGTTACGAAGACTATACTCCCGGTTACTACTATAGTGGTGAGAATGATCCAGATCTCAACTCGATCGAAGAATAGATCTAGAGTGTTCACTGTAAGACAAATCTGTTTTTTTTTTCGGCAATGATTTGTCTGTTTCATAATCAAGTAAGATTCGCAATGTATTCTAATGTTAGAAGTAGAATGCTCACAGCTAAGACAGTTTTATTTTTTAGCGTAAATGATTGTTCTGTTTTGTAAAATTCGCAATGTGTTCTAGTGTTCCAACAAAATATCCTAATCGGTTTTGTGTATGTGCAGTATTCCAAACTACTGGATTGTGTTTGAGTTTGATTCACAATGGTTACCTCTAGGAATTATTGTGAATGCAGTAAATTGCACTACATCTTAGAAATCTTTGGCAATTCTATGCTTACTCAGATTTATTAAAGCAACAACGAGAAAAAGTTTCCGAAAAGTTGCCAGACATTCCCTGATAGCAATCTCTACTTTGAGGAAACATAACTTGATTTGGAATGTAATAGAACTGCAAAAGCACTGCACGCTGTGTATTCAATAGTCGATTAAGGAGTACTGCTAGCCTTGAATTTCGTTTCAATTATTCGATTCGAATAAGTCAGCGAATGCGAATGATTCAAAAATTAGAATATCCGAAAATCTGAGATTTTATGAGTTTCGATAATACACACGAATATTCAGTTTTAAATATTACTCGCAATTCGAATATTCGAAACTAAATATTCGTGGGTTCGAAAATTCGATATTTATGTATACAAGGTGCCCCAAAAGTGTCTACACACTGTTTAATTGCTAATATACTCTTCATATAAAGTCTTTTGCCATCCTTTAAGTGCCATTCTGTAGGGCTGGCTTTAGCCTACATTTACGGAAAAGTGGATTTTATAGCTTTATATGTATTATCGCAGTTACGATAAGGACATCTAGCATGGAATTTGGTAATTACATGGAATATAATGTCCTATTAGATTATCAAGAAATAATGTCGATTATTAATTGCTTGCTATGGCACCGAAACTAGACGGACCGAGGGCCCGGCACGAGTTGGTTTCTAGGGTTTCTGAAAAAGAAGTCTTCCCCTTTCGGGGCTTGTTGGGGGTTTTACGAAGTCCCTTTTGACATACCTGCTTAGAGAAGATGAAAACAGACAAGATTTACTAATCTGAAAAAAAAACGTGAAATAAGAGTGAAAATCCAAAGTGGAGTTGAACACTACGCATGACAAGAGTTTGGCATTGGAGCGCGGTATTCAACAAAGCAATTTATGAAGAAATTGAAACAAAAAAAACAGAGGAAATAGATTGATATGAAAATGTCTCCATGTTGGGACAGATTTTTGACCGGGAAATCCGTCCATGATAGAAAAATCCGAAACTTATGTGAAGTGACAGAAATATATGCTCCAGACGATCTCAGATCGCCTGGTGACCGTCTGGAGACGGAGTAATTTTAGAAAAGGTAGTACTTCACATAAGTTTTCAAATCTTTTCGCGTAATTCTTTTGCAAATAATATTGTATGTATACAAGTTCCATTTGGTGTCATATGTTTCTGTTTGCGCTGTAAACAAACCATTTGTTCATTTTAGCCTTGCTTTCGAATCGCGCGCACTTTTCGCCATACGCGATAGAGCATGTCAATCATGTGATAATTTGCCGAAAAGCTTGTGTTCGATTAGATGGCGCTTATTCTTGTTACTCGGCCCCGACTCAGAAACGTCAGAAACGATATCTCCTTTGCTTTATGCTTCAAAAACGAAATCCAGCCCGCTTCCAGACGTTCTCTGCTGGACCCTGAACCACCCTAAAAGCGCTTGAGGGGTACTGTTCGATAGAGCAAAGGCTGCGTTCATACTCAGGGCTCGGCACGAGGTGGCTAATTGAAAATGCAAAAAACGAAGTCCCCCTTGACTTTTGCGAATTTTTACGAAGTCCACTTTGACCCTAGACCATGGGTCGGCACGAGCTGGCGCCCCGAAATTGCAAAAAATGAAGTTTTGTTGTCTTCAATGAAATTACGACATCCGCCACGAGATATTCGAAGAGTAAATACATGAAAAGGAACGGAACAAAGCCACAACAGAAAGAAAAAACAAAAAGAATCATCGAACACACGCGATGATATTCATATTCTCTGGATTGGCGGCGTGATGTATCCATCGCGCAGCATTACGCGCCTAGAGCAGCCTTTCCGCCGCCATTCAAAATTTTCAAGGGGCTATAACTAAGCGGGGAGAGGGGGGTTTGAGGCGGTTTAGGAACCAGTTTGTAGGGTTTGGGAGGTAGATGAAAAGTATGTAAAGAAAGTAGAAAAATTATGTGCGTGAGGAAAAATTTATGACTTTTTCTTTCCTAAGCCACCTCAGGTGGCTATCCAGGTGGCTTGAAGGCCACCTAACTCCGAAAAAAGTTGAGCACGCATTTAGTTCACATAATTTTTTCATAATTTTTCATACTTAGTCCCAACTCCCCATTGCCCATCTACACACTTATTTTGGTGTCATTTCATCTTCAATTCGCTGTAAACAAACCCTTTGTTTATTTGCCGGCGGCATGCCGGCAGCGTGCCGGCCGCAAATCGAAAGACAACGTTATGTTCTTCCGCAAAGACGATATCCCCTTTGCTTTTTCCCCAAAAACGATACCCAGCTTGCTTGCTAAGCCACCTGTGCCGTGCCCTGTTCATACTAATCCGTAAGTTCCGGAGCAGTCCTAGCACAGCGCTCCGAACTGTGCGCTGTGCAGGAACTGCTCCAGAACTTACGGATCAGTATGCAACCAGCTAAAGCAAGCTTCACAGACTGTGGTGCCTCCGCGCCAAGGTTGTTCCACGTGAAGTCAAAAATTAAGACCTGAAAAGTTTTGAATGCTGAAAATGCAGAAAAAAAATTAGATCTCTTTCCAAAAACCTTCTATGGATCTCCCACTCGTACACATTTGCACTATCGACTATATACATTACACATTACACTATATACTATACATTCACATATAGAGTTGCTTGTATTTTTTCCTTGACTAGAAGCTGGGAATCAAAAAACTTGTTTTTCTCAGAATAATGCTGGCGTTCTGACATAGGTGATTCTATACTACAAGTTTTTGTAAGTATTACTGTAATTTCGAGCCCTTTGAGCGCTAGCTTTACAAGAATCATAATCAGCTTTTCTCTTTTAAATATTTCTTCTAAAATGGAATTTGTGTTAACTTAAAGCTTGAAAAAGGCTAAAAATTTGCAGTTATATTTGCAAAGGCTTGTAGTGTAAAATAGCCTAGTATTGCTTTAAGAAATATTTGAGAATTTTGATTTTTATGTATATACTAGCTGGCTTACCCGGCTCCGCCGTATCCGGACCAAACTTGGCACATACACTTCGGGCCCCGGCGGGTGTCACAGTCCACTTTTCGTTATCGATCGATGTCGATTTTACCGATTTTTATCGATTTTTTGCAGAGTTCACCTACAGGGCTAGGAGTTGGCACAGGGGGGGGGGGGGGAAGTGAGCATGGGGATTCCGAATACAATATTAGTTTTCAGAATTATCGATTACTTTTATTGATTTTATCGATTTTTTTGTAAATTTTGACATGCGAGGCTGGGATTTTGCACAGGGAGGTAATCGAGCATGCTGATTACGAACACAATATTAGTTTTCAGGATCGTCCATTAACTCCCAGCCCCGTAGCTCAAACCTTGCAAAAAAATCGATAAAATCGATAAAAGTAATCGATAATCCTGAAAACTAATATTGTATTCGGAATCCTCATGCTCGATTACCCCCCCTGTGCCAACTCCCAGCCCCGTAGGTGAACTCAGCAAAAAAATCGATAAAAATCGATAAAATCGATATCGATCGATGACGAAAAGTAGCCTATGACACCCGCCGGGGCCCGAAGTGTATGTGTGCCAAGTTTGGTCCGGATCGGTTCAGAAATGGAATTTTCTATTCGGAACATACGTACAGACAGACATACATACAGACAGACATACATACAAACAGACATTCAGCTTTATATATAAGATAGTTTTCCCTAGTCATGTGGTCCGAACTAAAATTCGAATTTTTCGAGAACCAAAGCTTGTAGAGAGCTGGAAATTTACGCTTGTACTTCTAAGGGTTTGTAGTATACAACTACTTATGTGGGAACGGCATAGCGCCACTTTGGCAAATGCACGAAAATTTCCGTCTTGATTTCTAACACAGAAAAAAATACGGCAACCGCGTATATAGATGCCTTATGTGGATTAGGTTTCAGTGAGCAAGTTAGAATTTCTGCGGGATTTTTATGAACAGAGTTACGATTTTTCTTAATTTTTCGGGTAGTTGAATCTTTTTAGTTGTTGCCTCGAAACTCGTGGTGGATCAGAGCTGTTGCTAAAGCAAGACGGCCATCTTGTAAAGCTTGCTTTGTTCTGTCGAATAGTGCTTTGCAACCTACTTAGAAATGAGAAGTGTATGACTTATTGCGGTTGGAATTCAAAACCTGCATTAATTTCCGGACAACCTAATAGGATATGGGGACATTCCACTCCATTTCCTTGTATTTAGTATGCATCGAATTACAGAACCAAGCTTGGCTACAGAATTGTCATGATTTAAGTTCAAATATACTACATAAATTTTCAACAAAATTGTGAAAGCGGTTACAGCGGAAGGAGGGTTAATCACTACATACAAACTTTTTAGTTTGCAGCTTTACTTCAAATAGAAAATTGGCTAATTCTGTTTTCTTGTATTTAGTATGCACTGAGTGCAAAGGCCCGAAGGAGTTGATGTCACAGTCTATGAAAAGGCTGCTTAGAGAATTATCGCAAAACTTTATTATGATGTAATCTCTAACTTACTGAACTTGCTTTTGCGTCAGACAGCTAGTGCTATGGCTTGCTCTTAGGCATGCACGCACAGATTATCTCAGAAAAAGCCGAGATGCCAATGTGCAGTTCCTGAAAGGCTGTGGAGTAAAACATATTCAACCACTGAAATCAGAAGTAAAAAAATAATTCGATAAAATCGATAAAAGTAATCGATAATCCCGAAAACCAATATTGTATTCGGAATCCCCA